AATGGGCAAAGGTAACTCTTATGCACTGCTGCTGGGTAAAGGTAAATTTATGCACTTATTTCAATGCAATGAAATATGTCAGTCACAAAAAGACAAATACTGTATCAGACCATTATTATAAAAACTCATGAAAAGGTTTACACACAGTAAGAAACAATTTTTCCTGGTTATGAGGGAGGAGAGGGGTAAGGAGGGAAAAACACAAACTATACAATAGATAAACGGTAACTTTGGTGAAGGGTAAGACAGTACACAATACTGGGAAGGTCAGCACGACTTGACCAAAGCTCAGTCACAGAAGTTTCATAGACACATCCAAACTCCTTGAGGGACCGAGTTACTGGGTTGAGGGCTGAGGACCATGGTCTCCGGGGACATCTAGCTCAACTGGCATAATATAGTTTATAAATATTCTATATCCTACTTTGGTGAGTATCCCTGGGGTCTTAAAAGCTTGTGAGCAGCCATCTAAGATATGTCTCCTTTTCCCACCTGTCTGGAGCAAGGAAGAATGAAGAAAACCAAAGACATAAGGGAAAGATTAGTCCAAAAGACTAATGGACCACAACTACCACAGGCTCCACCAGCCTGAGTCCAGCACAACCAGATGGTGCCCAGCTACCACCACCAACCAGTCTTGACAGGGATCACAATAGAGGGTCCTGGATAAAGCTGGAGAAAAATATAGAACAAAATTCTAACTCACAAAAAAAGACCAGGTCAACTGGTCTGATAGACTGGAAAAACCCTGAGAGTATGGTCAATGGACACCCTTTTAACTCAGTACTTAAGTCACTCCTGAAGTACACCCTTTACTATAAAGCTACAGTGAGTAAGACAATTTCAGTTAAGTGAAACTGAACAGATACTACAGAAACAGACTGGCACATATATGAATACTTTCTGTATCAGAAAAGAGACATTGCAGAACAGTGGGAAAAATGGTCTTTTTAAAAACCAATGCTGCGTTAATTTTATATGCATATAGGAAAAAAAAGGAATCCAGATCCCCCCTGCCTCACACATACCTAATGGATGTTATATCAAAGCTTCTAGAAGATAACATAGGAGAATATTTTCACAGCCATTGGATAGACAAAAATTCATAACATGGACAAAAAGAGCACTAACCATGAAGGAAAACTCCATAAATTAGACTACATTAAAATTAAGAATTGCTACTCATCAAAAGACACCAGTAAGAGAATGAAAGAGCAAGTCACAGAAAGGGAGAAGGTATTTGCAAAATATATAACTGACAAAGAGCTTGTATCCAGAATATATAAAGAAATGTTACAAATTAGTAAGTAAAACCAAAGAACACATTTTTTTTTAATGGGCAAAAGACATCAATATTCACTTCTCAAAAACAGATATCTAATAGACCTATAAACATAGGAAAAGGTGTTCTACCTCAACAGTTATCAGGAAAATACAAATGAAAGTGCAATGAGTTATAAACTCACCATCCATGGCTAAAATTCGTTTTTTTTAAATTTTATTCTGTCGGGATGCTTGTGTTGGGCCTAATGTAGAACAACTAAACTCATCCACTGCTGGCTGGAGTGTAAATTGATACAGTCACTTTGGAGAATTGTTTGACCGTATCCACTAAAGCTATGTACATTATATGACCAAGTGATTCTACTCCTAGATGTATATTCAGCAGAACTGTGAACACACATGCACCAAAAGATATGCTTAAGAAAATTAATAGCTGTGCTGTCTTAGTCATCTAGTGCTGCTGTAACAGAAATACCACAATTGGATGGCTTTAACAAAGAGAAATTTATTTTCTCACAGTCTAGTAGGCTAGAAGTCCAAATTCAGGGCGTCAGTTCCAGGGGAAGGCTTTCTCTCTGTGTTGGCTCTGGAGGAAGGTCCTCGTCGTCATCAATCTTCCCCTGGGCTAGGAGCTTCTCTGCACAGGAACCTCAGGTCCAAAAGATGCACTCTGCTCCTGGCACTGCTTTCTTGGTAGTATGAGGTCCCCAACTCTCTGTTTGCTTCCCTTTCATCTCTTATAAAAGGTGGTACAGGCCACACCCCAGGGAAACTCCCTTTACATTAGATCAGAGATGTGACTTTAGTAAGGGTATTACAATCCCACCCTAATCCTCTTTAACATAAAATTACAATCACAAAATGGAGGACAACCACACAATACTGGGAATCATGGCCTAACCAAGGTGACACATATTTTGGGGGGACACAATTCAATCCATGACATGCTCTTTCTACAACAGTCCCAAACTAGAGAAAATTCTAAAGGCATTGCAGTACTCATACACTGGACTACTATATAGCACTAATGTCATACAACAGCGTGTTTCTTGAGCAAAAGCAGCCAGACATAATGAATATATACTACATGGTTTAACTGATATAAAGTTCAAAAACAAGCAAAATTATTTCATTGTGTTTGAAGTCAAGAGAGTGGGTTACTTCTCAGGGGAAGGAAGAGGGCGGGAGTGGTTGTCTGGGATGGTGAAAATGGTATTCTTGATCTGGGTGATGGTTACACAAATATGTTCATATTGTGATAATTAATCAACCTGCACACTTATGATCTGTGCACTTTTCTATATTTGTGTGACTTATATGTGTATATATTTCATTAAAAAATTCTTACTAAAAACAAGATAGTCAACATACAAAGATCAATGTCTTTCCTGTTGATCAGCAATAGCCAATTTAACACTGAATTAAGGGGGAAAATTACATTTCACTAGAGTACTTAAGAATAAAATTAATAAGATTGTGTAAGCCTGTTTTGGAAAACTTTATTGAAGGCTATAAATGAGATCTGAACAAGTAGAAGATATATATTATCTTTACGGATGAGAAGGCAGTATTATAAATTCATTAACAAGATTGTCAACTCTCCCCAAATTAATCTATAAATTCCATGCAAACCTAACAAAAATTCCACCAATGCCATTTATGGAAGTTTTCAAACTGCTTCTAAAATTCATGTGGAAGAATAAACGTGTAAGAAGTGTTAAAAGAATATTTAAAAGAACAAAGACAGACTTTTCCTTGTCAGGAATACATTATAAAACAATAGAAACTAGAATAGAAAGTCTAAAAACAGACCTATATGTTCATGGACTTTAATTCTATGATAAATGTGGCATCTCCAAATAGCAAGTGAAGAATGGTAATCAAATTAGTAGAGTTGGCTGACTTAGCTATCTATATTTTAAAAAAGTAAATATATTCTAGCCTTGTACTATGCACATAAACAACTGATCAATAAAAGACCTATAAAACTATTAGAAGACAGATAAAAGATTATGCTTGTGGTATTTGAGATGAGAAAAATCCATCTTAAACAATACACAGAAAGAAAAAGACATACAGAAAAAAATAAATTTGACTACATAAAAACTTTAAAACTTTTGTATGATAAAAGAGTCCTTAAACAGGACAAACAACAAGCGGGGAGAATATATTTGCACAATGTAAAACAAAGTATTCATATACGGAGCATATAAAGAATTTCTACAAAAAAAAAGAAATAAAGAAATAAACCCGAAATAAGACCAGTTAATTCCTTAACAGAAGGAATACAAATGTTCAATAAACATATTGAAAAATATTCAGTCTCCAAGAAATCAAGGTCATGGAAAATAGAACAAGGTATCATTAAATTGATAAAATTGTTTAAGTTCAACAAAATCATGTGTGGCAAGGGTGTCGGTATTTTCAAATGCTGCTAGCTAGAGCATATTTGCACAGCAACTTTGGAGAGCAATTTGACTGTATTCAATAAAACTACAGTATACATACCCTGGAAAATCTAGGTGGTGCAAATGGTTAACTCTCTCAGCTGCTAACCAAAAGGTCAGAGGTTACAGTCTACTCACAGGCACCTCAGAAGAAAGGCCTGGAGATTTACTTCTGAAAAATCAGGCATTAAAAAACTCAGGGGAGTACAAGTCTACTCTGACATACACTGGGTGGCCATGAATCAAAATCGACTCCACTATGGCAACTGGTTTATACATACCCTGCAATGCTGCCTTTCCACTTCTAAGTATTGACTCTAGAGAAACATTGGCACATCGTGTAAATATTCATTTACCCATAGTTTATAATAACAAAAATCTAAAAATATTTGTCCATGGTTAGATCAACTATAGTATATTTATACAAATGATGCTGTGCAAAAATAAAGTGATATATGTATGCACACTAACAAAGCTAAATCTTGAACACACTGCCAAGGCTTTTTAAAAGTTGAAGACAGTTATCTAAAATATGTAAACACACACACACAACATATTTTCCACAAGGGCATAAATACCCATGTAAATGCAGAAAGTGGATTGGACGAACACACACCCAACTGATATTAGTGGAAAGTTACCTCCTGGAGAAAATGGCGCCAAATTTTTCTTCACTGTAATTTAGGAAAAAAACAAAACACGCGTAATACATATACTTATTATTAGTGGATTTAACATAATTTCTAAATGACGAAAACAGAAAAGCAGAACGTATAGTTAGGATAAATCAGTATTTACCACGTTGATCTGTGGTTGAGAATACTCTCTAGCTTGGAGATGTAGGGTCGCTGAGTTGGAATCGACTCCACGGTTTGTCTTTTTTTTTTTGGCGCACCAACAGACGGTAGACAAACCTTGAGAGCAGATGTGATTGCCAGGGGAATGGGGGTTGGGAAGAGGTGGGGCGGAGGAGATGCAGGAGGAGAAGAGAGGGAGGAGGGTGAAGTATTTTTAGGAAGGCTAGTGGAGTGTTTTCAAGTTTACACCATCATAAGCAGCAGAACAGCTAAGTAAGGCAGAGACAGTAATGCTCTTGCACACACAGCCTCCAGGTATGAAGTTCGAATCGACTTGAAACAAAGACCACAAAGCCACTCTAACTTCAACGTTCTCTCAAAGGACCAGCGATCCCCCGCAACTCGAGCAGAGCGCGAGACGGGAGAGCCACGCATGCGAACAGGGCTACGCAAGCGCACAGCGTTTGCGCAAGCGCACCAGCCGTCTCTCCAGTCTTGCCGAAAACGCTTTGCGAGCGTTGGAGCAGCTTGAATCATGTCCGAGATGTCCGAGCTGTCCGAACTGTATGAGGAGAGTAATGACCTGCAGATGGACGTGATGCCTGGCGAGAGTGACCCTCCGCAGATGGAGGTAGGCAGCGGGAACCGGGAGCCGTCCCCGAGCCCCTCCCGCCCCGGGGCCCCGCCACAGCTGGAGGAGGAAGGCCCAATGGAGGAGGAGGAGGCCCAGCCGATGGCGGAGACAGGAGGCCTTGCTGACGGGCGCAGCCGTGGGGAGCGGCCCGGCCAGGCCGCGGCCCCGGACTTGGAGAGCGAGGACGAGGGCGAGGAATTCGATGACTGGGAGGACGACTACGACTATCCGGAGGAGGAGCAGCTCAGTGGTGCAGGCTACAGAGTGTCGGCGGCCCTTGAAGAAGCCAACAAGATGTTTCTGAGAACATCGAGAGCCAGAGAAGCAGCCCTGGATGGTGGGTTTCAGATGCATTATGAGAAGACCCCGTTTGATCAGTTAGCGTTTATCGAAGAGCTTTTTTCGCTTATGGTTGTCAATCGTCTGACCGAAGAACTCGGCTGTGATGAGATTATTGATAGAGAGTAGGTAAATGCTATTAAAAGAGGAGGAAACTACTTGAGGAGATACCCAACATCCCATTATTTTTTGGATTAATTCGAAATAGTTCTGTCCAATGCAAAACTTGATCTTCAAGAAAATTGTGTGTGTTTCGTAGAATAGAAGAGAATAGGACAATGACTGCACAGTTGTGAAAAAGGAAGAATCGTTAAGAAAGAGAAAGGATCTTAGGACTGTTGAAACCTGAAACACCCATGCCTTTGACTTTGTTATTGATCCAGATTATTTTCCTTGCATTGGGGAAAATATCTTTCATATCAGCTTCACTGTAAGGGATGGTTTTGCAAGAACAAAGCATGACCAAGACAAACTGCCAATGAAAAGATCCCACTGATAGCAACTATATGATGAGAAAAAACAGCCGAAATGTCCAACTTAGGACACAGGATGTCTTTGAATTATTTGGACTGGAAGCCTATTGAGAAAACTTTGAAAATTCTGATTTTGTGATCTATTCAAGCCATGGTTATCAAAGGCTAAATTACTAGTATAACATAAATTGAGTTTCTTTAGTATCTCAAAAAGATGAGCAAGCCCCAAAAGAAGTATATATCACATATGCTATATCTTTAAATGTGTTTCCAAGAGCACCTAAATTCTGTTTATACATGTATCTTGATCATTTATAAAGCTAGGATGATCTATATTCAAGAAAATCCATGTCGTGACCATTTAAAAAGTAAAAAATTAAGACCTCCTTAATTAAAAATTTTAAGCATTAATATGTGAAAGTACAAAGAAAATTTATAACACTCTTATGCACAGGGAAAATTTCTGTTTTGCTCCTCTCTTTTTCACTTAATTTAAGAGGCAAAAGACTTAGTTGAACTTCATATTATAAGAACTGTTTGTGAAAATTGTCATGTAAAAGGGAAGTTGTACATCTAAAAAAGACTGAACAATTATGTTATCAACGTTTTAAACGTTTTAAACCTGCCCAGAAATCCCTTTCAGTATCTGACATTTCCCTCTCTCTCTCCTCCTCTAAGCTTGTTATTTGTTATGCACCAGCGTTCCAGATAATAAAATTTCTTGTTCTGTGTACTTTGTTTGGCTAATAGTATTGCACACACGCTTTATACTACTTTTTATTATATGAATTATTGCAACCACTTAATGATTTAAATTTAACTGGTATTTATAAAGGAAAGCTATCCAGCTTCAAATACCTAATGTACAAATTAACTTGTGGAAAGCAAACTTAGTAAATTAAGTATTGCCAACCTCAGAAAACTTGCCCTATCAGTGAGAAATGTGGTTATTAAGATGAAGTTCTATGGGAAAAAATTGTTGTTAGAAGGCTGCATCCTGTAAAAATTGAGTATATCAGCAAGTTTTATCATGACCAATAAAAAGTACTAGATGTTCCTGCTCCATTATGGCAATAAAGGCACATCCAGTACAACAGGACAACTCAGCCTTATTTATGTTAGTCATCCTGTTCTTTGGGAAGGGGGTTCTTTTCTGTAAAATGAAGACTGACCATTACTATATTGGCAGCTCCTGTCCAGAGGTGAGATGAGAAGGCGGAGAGGGACAGGAGCTGGTTGAATGGACACGGGAAATCTGGGGTGGAAAGGAGTGTGCTGTCACATTATAGGGAGAACAAGTAGGGTCATATAACAATGTGTATAAGTTTTTGTATGAGAAATTAACTTGAACTGTAAACTTTCACTTAAAGCACAAAAAAAGAAGTAAGGATGATCATAATCACTCAAAACACTAGCATGATGGGTAAGGGGAGGGGATAGACAAGAGGTAAAATGTTGGCATTTAAGCATCTTAATCCTACTGCCTCTCCTTGCCTCACCTTTTCCATTGTTTTCTCAAATAGTTTGTAGCTGTAGTCAAATGCATCTGTAGATAGATAATTAATTGTGTAATGTAAATTAACAGTACTCTGGAAGAAAAAAAAAAGAATGCCAGTATGCAATAAACTTGCTAGTTGCATTTACCTCCAAATAAAGAAAGGCTCAGAAAAAAATAGGTCTGCAAACTGGGAGGTTATGATTCTGTTTCTCAGAATGAGCAGGGGTGGGGGGAGGGTGGCAGGGAGAAAACCCACATTCCCTGTTGAGTTTGAAGACTCAGCTTAAGGAGAAAGACCTGGGCTCTGTGAGTGGTTAGCTGGTTTTAAAAATAGGAAGTAACCTGAGAGACCACTGAAAATAATAATTGTTAATATTTACTGAAGATGGAAAATGGTAACATTTTAGCACCCCTTTTAGGGGTATAAAATCACATTTCTTTTAAATGTTGGAGTTACCACAGACTGGAATCAGACTACTTGATTGAAATCTGGGCCTCCCTACTTACTGGGTCTGTAACTGAGGAAATTATTTAGTTTCTCTACCTTAATGCCCTTACCTGAAAATGAATGTAATAACTGCATGTACCTTATAAATTGTCCATTTAATGGGAATTAAAGGTGTTCTGAGGAAACCCTGGTCCTGATTTGGGGGATGGAGTGGGAAGAAGGAACTCAAGCTTGTGAGTGCGTAGTATGATCTGGGGAGGGTTTTCTGGATCTGTCCATAACCCACTACCTTCAAGTCGATTCTGACTCCTAGTGACCATATAAGACAGAGTAGAGCTGCCCCACAGGGTTTCTAAGGTTGTAATCTTTATGGAAGCAGACTGCCACATCTTTCTCCCACAGAGTGGCTGATGGGTTTGAATCACTGACCTTTTGTTTAGCAGCCAAGCACTTAACCACTGCACCACCAGGGCTCCTTCATTCTTCTCATAAACCAAACCCAAACCCATTTCCATTGAGTGGATTCCAACTCATAGTGACCCTATAGGATAGAGTAGAACTGCCCCATAGGGTTTCCAAGGAGCAGCTTGTGGATTCAAACTGCTGACCTTTTGATAGCAGCTGAGCTCTTAACCACTGCATGACCAGGGTTCCTGGATCTATCCATAGGTATTATAAATGTTTGCTTAGATCAAATGTCCCACACTGGCTGCCCTCAGGCCACAGATGTCCCACAGATCTATTTTGTTTGGCTCACACTTGTAATTTTAATTTCTTAATTATAGACCAAAATCTTGTAATTCAGAGATAGCACCTAAAAACCCAGATTTCCAGCTGCTATTGCCAAAGTGAAAGATCTGGCAGCCCTTGCCCCTGAGTCTCACGTGGCAAAAAGTGTCTGATTCATCTTTAGATAGAAAAGATGTTCTGTTTGCCATGTTCCCCAGTATTGTCTCCCCAACGTGGAGGCCAAGTGGTACTTACTATTCATCACCACGTTTCACCATTGTTTTCTCTTGAACCTGGACAGTTTGCATTACCTGCTGGGCCTCCATAGGTATTTGAAGTTGCCTCTCCTGCTGGACACTAAAGGATGTCTCCATTTTCTTCCTGTTTTACCTTGTTTATCTCTTTATTACCCTTCTCCATTCAGTAGCTGTTAAGAGTTGTATCTTAGTCATCTAGTGCTGCAATAACAGAAATACCACAAGTGGATGGCTTTAACAAAGGGAAATTTATTTCCTCACAGTAAAGTAGGCTAAAAGTCCAAATTCAAAGCACCAGCTCTGTCGGTTCTGGAACAAAGTCCTTGTCATCAATCTTCCCTTGGTCTAGGAGCTTCTCCACATAGGAATCTCAGGTCCAGAGGACATGCTCTACTCCTGGTGCTGCTTTCTTGGTGGTATGAGGTCCCCAAGTCTCTCTGCTTGCTTCTCTCTTATATCTCAAAAGAGATTGGCTTAAGACACTATTTAATCTTGTTGATCTCATCAATATAACTGCTACTAATCCATCTCATTAACATCATAGTGATAGGATTTATAACACAGAGGGAAATCACATCAGATGAGAAAATGGCAGACAATCATACAATACTGGGAATCATGACCTAGTCAAGTTGACAGATATTTTTGGGGGGCACATGACAAGTTGGTAGCAGGAATAGAAGTGAGTAAAGAATTAGTGGAACTGGGAGCTACTAAGACTCTGACATTTTTTGCTTAAGCCCCTAAAATATCATATTAAAGTATGTCAAGAAAGTGTTTAAACCAAGGAATATACAAAAACTCCTATAACTTGCTTTTCCAGAATGTATTTTCCCATACCAAAATTAAATAATTTAACAAAATGGCAAGTATTATGTTTAATATGATTTTATTTTATGCTTCTGAGGGTCTATGAAACATTTTCTGGGAGTGAATGGTTATATTTTTGATACTGTCCTCAGTGGTGGGGATAAATATGAACCATCTGATCCATAAATGATCTGGCATCTATGAATGTATCCAGAAACTTGAACCTGTTTATGTTTTCAGGTCAACGTACATCTTTGAATTTAAGGGGGTGGGGGGAGGCATTAGCGTTTCCTCGTAGTTATCTTAGAACTTCAAGGGGCAGCTTGCTTTAAGAAGAATTTAATAAACAAATCCTTTTCTCATGCTACATCCAGGTCCCTTCTCTGCTGCCTTCATCCACTGAACATTTTAATTGCTTTTGACATTGTAAAAATGGCATGGAGGTGGCGTCTGAGCTCTAACTTCACAAGGGGGAAGGAGAATCACCATCAGCATCAGCCCAAGACTGATTTCTATGAGGCGAAGGTCAGATATGCCTCTTCTCTCCTCCATTTTTACCAGTTCTGACACCAACTGTCCCTCCCATGGCACTCTCGACTTCTCTGCTGGATTTGATAATTCATTGCAATGGCCACATAGAACTCACAGACCATACTCACAGTTATGATGGTTGTTAGGGAAGTAACAGGTTCAGGAACTCTCAAGATACAGTTCTTCAGTCAGGACAGGCTCTTCTCAGCTGTGTCCGCAAGCACACCTCTCTCTGGGCCCTTGGCCTCTGCCTTTCTCAGGCAAGTGCTGCAAAGCTCTTATAGCTCTGCTGATTAGTGTCTGGAGGCACCCCACTCAGCCAGTAAGCCTTGGCCCAAAGGCAGTCAGCTCTAGCTCTGTGGGTTGGCAAACCTAGCTCCACTAAGTACCCAGAGGCACCCCACTCTGCCAGCAAGCCTCCTACCCAAAGGCGTTCAGCTTTCTTACTCCATGGGCTGGGTTGCACTGTCTCCTGCCTCTACTGCTGACGTTTCTCTGCCGCCGCTTCTAGTCGTCTTCAGTGTTACAGCTGTCTCTTGGTCTTCTGGTTCCAGGAGTTTCTCAGTGCAGGGATCCCCAGTCCAAAGGACACTCTCTGCTCCTGGCTCTTCTTCCTTGGGGTGGTGAGATCCTCTCTTCTCCGCCTCTAGGATAGCTCATTTTAAGCTTAACAGAATGGCAAAACTGGCCAGTCTCCTCGGTTGGCCAAAATTACCTTATTTGCATAGTCCCACCCAATCATTTGGGTGGAAATTACAATCCATCACACTGCAGGCATGTATAGCTTCTTGAGTTGAAACATCCAGAATGGCACATCTTTTTTTTTTTTTTTTTTAACTCCCCAGCCATTTTTCCCTAGGCCTGCAGAACAGTTCAAAATAGTTTTTAAAAATCAGTCCCTGGGTCTGAGATCAATGAGATCCTACCTTTGGTCATCCCCACTTTAAGCAGAAACTGAACACAGCCCCATCCCATGAACCAATGAAGCAAAGATGTGAGTCACGCCCAAAAGCACCTCACTACTATAGCTTCTAGGAGTAGAGGCCACCATGCCACTGTCCCTACCTCTTATCTGCCTGAAAGATTGTGGGTGTGTGGCAATACTACTTCTAATTACAGTGGCCTAGAGAAGGACTGTGGAGGGGAAAGATGCTGAGAATTGCAACTATACCCCCTCACACACACCACAACCCCATTCTTCTGTCACCCCATGGAAAGAACCATTTTTTAAAATGCTCATTAGATTCTGCCACCTAAGACTATCACCATAATGGCCGTAGCTTTGCCTATTCTTTCTCCCCTACAAAACTCAGTGAGATCTCATAATTAAAAGCATTGAGTCCCCTGGTACCATACACCTGGGTAAATATCAAAAATAAATTTTACATCTACAGATGTCTTGAGGGAAAAACATCTGAATGATTGAATTAATGCTTTACTTTCCACTCAGATTGGTTGAGCTTCCAAGTACAGCCCAAAATGTCATACCATCATTACACCAATGGTATCATTTCTCTGGGATAATCAGTCAGGAACCAACTAGACAGGAATCTGTTTTGAATTGTTTCATATTAAGCATTTTCCTCCTAAGATGTTTTTTATATTACTGGTGGCATAATGGTTAAGAGCTATGGCTGCTAACTTAAAGGTCGGCAGTTAGTATCCACTAGGCACTCCTTGGAAACTCTATGGAGCAGTTCTCTGTCCGATAGGGTCTCTATGAGTTGAAATCAACTTGACAGCAATGGGGTTTTTTTTGTTTCTTTGTTTTTATATAAGCAATGCGTTTGTTTTTTCTTTTTGTTTCTGTCTTTGAATTTAGAAAATAAAGCAGTTCCTAAATCCTCAAGTGAATTTTTTGGTGAAAAATAGAAGTCAGAATGTATATGACTGTATATATATGTAACTGACAATTTTATAATTTTATATATTATAATATGCTTTCCTTGTTAAGCACTAAGTATATGAAAAGGTCTCCAAGGAAGAATGTTTAAGTAAATAATAATAATAAACACCATATGACAGGCACTGTGCTAAGTGATTTACACCCATTATCACATTTAATCCTCTAAATAAACTCTATGACATATGTAGTTAAATCCATCACCTCGGAAACCCTATGAACAGGTACTATAATCTCCATTTTACTGACAAGGAAAACTGAAGCTCAGAGTGGTAGGCTAACTTGCTAGTAAGTGGCAAGCCAGGATTTCAACCTATATGTGTCTGACCTCAAAGCTTCTTAGTGTTTTATCATTGTCCAAGTACACGTTATAACTTCCATGAGCTCATGATCAACAACATTCCAGGTAATAAAACCTTAAATATCAAGAACCCTGAATCACTACATATTAGACAAGGCGAAAAACCAGACCCTTACACACATAAATAACGTGATACAAGTGATTTAGAAAATATTTGGAATCATTATTCCCTGACCTTGAGCATGGAGAATTGTGACCCAGCTGGGGCTGGGCCCTCACAGAGACACATCAGCTGGGCCCTGAGATAGGCAGTAGATGGGACAATCTCAGAAATTATCTTAAGGAAATTTTCACAAAAGGGCAATCAAACCTAACACAAAAGACTTCCCACTTTTTGTCTTTTTCTATTAGCGTTTAGTGAATAGAAATTTGTTGGACCAATGAAGACCCTCCTGACTTTCGTAACCGAAACCTGTACCAATGATCGTTAAGAAAGATGATTCAAAATGTAAGATCACAATTTCTAGTCAATCAGTGAAAAGGTGATGCTTTCAGTGATTCTACCCATTTTGTGATGTTGATATATACTGATGATTCTGTAACCTTCCTCAGATTCAGGCAGACATTCTAGCTCTGGCAGCATGCTTGTCCTCTTCCCACTTTTGCCCTTTTGAATATATGCTGAATAAAACTTTCTTTTTGCTTTACTAAACTTTATGATGTTTTCCTCTACAACACATGTAATTTAGGACCCTGGGTGGCACAAACGGTTAAGTGCTCAACTACTAGCCAAAAGGTCGGCAATTCAAACCCACCCAAAGGCACCTCGGAAGACAGGTCTGGCAATCTGCCTCTCAAAGATTATAATGAAAACCCTATAGAGCAGTTCTACTCTGCACACATGGGTTTGCCATCAGTCGGAATCACCTTGAAAGCAACTAACATCAATAACAACATAAGAAATTTCGTTTAAAAAATAAAAATCAGGTCAAAAAGAGTGTCTTGGTTTAGATACCCATTTAGCCCAAACAATGCCCATATATCTCTTACACCTGTTTCAGCAATGCTGTTCTGTGAGAAAATTAGGTTCACAATGAAAACTCAGGCACACCATGATATTATAAACAATCAAAAAAGAAAAAATTATATTTATGCAATAACATTTTAGAAATATTTTAGACCACAAGAGTTGGAAGAAAATGTTTCTGCTTAAAAACATTAACCCTAATACCACTTCTCCCCTTTACCCCAGTCCAAAACACACAGTCTATTAGTTCTGATAATGGAATTGCTTTCCCTTTGGGGAAGGGTGAGGGAGAATAGTGAATGACTTATTCAGGGATATGAGTTGCCAAATGATATGTACTATGCATTTTGCACCTTAATTCTCAATACAAAGCCAATTAGGTAGTGGTAAGTATGTAAGCAGGAAAACCCCAGTGATGGGATAATAATATTATTGTTTTAAGTATTGTTATGTATAAATCTTTGGAGATTTTCTCCCTTGTGCTTTATTAAATTTTAGGCATACTCTGTCTGAAACTTTATTTTCTTTCTTATCCCACAGGCTCCTCTAGAAAAGTAGGTGATATATGAAACTGTAAATGACATTCAGGATCTTACCTGTTGGTTGTCAAGATTCATCAACGTGAGGCTACATGTTGAGATGGTCAGTTTTATATTCATTCCCGAAAACTGAAGGTTACTTTTGCCAAGAACTGTTGATAGGAATTTAACTGGAGGCTTTAAAAAAAAAAAAAAAAAAAAACACTCTAAGTTATGAATTTTGTTACCAAATGAATATTACTGTTATTTAAATGTTTTTTTAAAAAGATCGAAGCCCACACTCTCCTTGCTTATTTTACTTTACATAAACGAAATGAAATGAAATAATTTTTTTTAAATAAAAACTTTTGACAAATTGGAATGCAGCAATTCCTCCAGTAAATAGTGAAATTTGAGTCCTCTTTTCTCATACATTCTCCCTCTCTTCATCTGAGGGAAAGGATCTGCTATAAAGGGAAATCCTGTGAGAGTCTGGACCAGCTGAACTCTCTTTTTCAACAAGAGTCTAAGAGAGAAAGTTGATAATCAGTCACTGAAATCATTGATGAACACAGCCCAATTAACTGTTTCCTTCAGTGAAACCATCCCTTGTTCTTCATCTTTCCCTTGCCAGAGTTAAAAAGACCTTGCAACCAGCCTACTCTCCGCCTTCAGACAACCACAATGCCTGAAGTTCCACCATCAACCATTCTTTTCAGTTAAATCATTGTTTCCAGAAAGTTCTCATTGTTAAAATGAACATATTACTGGGAATGGGTTAGCCCATTCCACATTAACTCATTAACAAAGATGGTTTACCAGAATTTACTAATGGAAATTTAGAGGAAGCTCCTGAGGAAAGCGACATGTTTTGATGAAAGCTGAACATGTAGACCGGCATTTCTCAAGAGGAGGTCTGGGGGTTGGGGAAAAATCACAAGAGTAGGGGTGCCCAGGAATTATAAAGGCACTGGGGTCATAAGTGAGGAAAGAGGCGCCAACAGAGGGGTGAGAAGTTGGGCTGGCTGATTTTCTCAGGCAGAAGTGTCACCGAAGTCTCACCTACCAGCTGTATGACCTTGGACAAATAACCTTTCCAAGCCTCAATTTCCTTTCTGTAAAATATGAATCACAACAGTAGCCACCTCATAGGGCTGTTCTGAAGATTAAATTTAGATAATGAATGGAAAGCACTTAGCACCGCGCTTGGCTAGAACACAATAGCTGCTATTATTATTATTTTGGTCTTATCCAACATTAAGATTCTAAGCTCTCAGAAATCATTTGAGAGATTTAGATACTGAAATGCTTGGATTAAGCCCTGAACCCCTCTGCTGGAAAGCAGGCCTATTGAAGATGGAAAACTGGTGATTCCTCAACATATGGATGAACACTTTGAGGCAGTCAGTGAAAATATAGTTGATTTCTTTCACAATTTTGCTCGTAAATCACTCTTATTTGACTCCTTAGGGAACCACATTAAACTATTAAACATAAATTATTGAAATTCAATGTGTAGTTTTATTTTTTAATTCCAAGTGCATTCTAAAAAAAATGTGACTAAGGAGCCCCAATATCTTGGGTATCACTCTATCATAAAGTTGACTCTTGGTCTACTTTCTTTCCTCTTCATATTGCCTGGGGGCAAGATAAGCCACCCAATTGAGGGATTTTGTGTACCCAACAGCTATTGTATTTAATTAACAAATCATTCATTTGCTTCTCTACAGTTTCCTTTGTGTGCTAGTTTTTAAAAATTATTATTAAATGCCCATTAAGTAATAATACTATCTCATAGCAGAAAAGCACTTTGCCATTGTTAAAGAACTTTTACATTTATTATCTTAATTTGGTCTTCACAGTAACCTTAACCTTAGGACAAAGACCCAACATCCATTTTATTATGTAGGAGACAAAGTCTTTCATTCCATTATTAGGAATGACTTAACATTTAAATGCCCCATGGAACTGAAAGTGCATGGACTTCAGGCAGGCACAGCAGAGAGGAAAGTACACAGGACCTGCGGTAAGACAGCTTGGAGCTGAGGCCCAGGTGTGCTACCAAGTGGCCCAGGACCTTAGGAACTCCCTGAGCCGTCACAGCATCTGCTTACCAAACAGGAGAATTAATACCACTGCTTCCACCTCCAGTCATGGGAGGTCTTAGAAGAATCAAATTCAGAAATAAAGTATGTGAAAATGCACAGTATACTGTGGAGGGACAACACATTGCAGTGATTATAATTACTACTTATGAAATGAATTCAGGCTCTTCTTGCTACAGGATTGCTTCTTAGAGTCTGCTTTGAGAAAGAGAAAGTGTGCAGGCCCTGGCTCTTAGCGAAAGTCACCCGGGAGTGGGAGGAGAAGGCAACAGAAAGGGGAGGCTGAGGACGGGACACTTCACAGGCTTGACTTAAGGGTGCAGGCAACTAGCCACGGTGTGATTATACAAATTTTCAAATGAAAACACTCAAGATAGAGAGAATTGACTGATCATAGCTTGTTACTCACATAGCAGCCTGGCTTTCCTGATTCCATATCATACAGTCTTTTAGGGGGCCTCTAGTTCTTTTGGATATTCATTAGCTTTTTGACTTCGAAGCACAGGGCTGTCACATAAGTGGGTAAATCCTAAGCCCTCCACACTGTCTATGTTGAAATAGCCCATAGATATAATGGACTCTAAAGGAGAGCCTGACCATATTCCATTGACCATAAATAGTTTTTGGCTCCCTCACCCAGGAGAAGAAGCTAGGCCACAGAGGCGGATAACATAATGGTTAAGAGTGTAGGTCCTTGGCCTAGACTGCTTGGGCTTGACCCTAGCTCCACTGTTTACTGATTGGGTGACCTTGGGCATGTTACTTAACCATTCTGGGCCCCCAGATTCCTCATCTGTAAAATGGAGATAAAAATAGGACCTGCTGTCTAGGTATTTTGTGAGGATTAAAAGAGTATTAAAAATGTAAAGTGCTTGGAGGAGTCCCTGGCAGGTATTAAGTACTCAATAAACATTAGCTATCAAAAGGAAATTAACTAAATGGGGGACAGATTCCCAACTCCTGAAATGAGACAGTCTTAAACAAATGGACCTGTTTGTTGGGCTCGTTCTGTTGAAACATCTTATTCACAGAGGTTATGAGAAGCAGGAGGAGGTTGGAAGGCTGCTGCTTTGGGGCTATGGAGCCTCAAAGAAACTAGAACAGACAGTCCCCAACTTATGATGGGTTCTGTTCTGATGACTCCGTTGCAAGTCAGTTCTGATGTTAAGTCCAATACCTCATTTTTTTTTAAGTTTTCATTATTATTGTCTTTTATTATCAGTATCTCTATAAATCTGATCTTTGGGGGTTGGCATGAGAACGATAACATAAGCAAATAATGTGCTGCAACACTATATCTAGTACATATTACTAAACAATAAGATGTACAAAAAAAAAAAAAAAAAGGACCGTGGTAGCTGTGGTCCATCACAGATGTCCTAAATCGGGGACTATCTGTAACAGGGAGTTCTTAATAGACTGCAAGGGCCATTTGTCAGAGATGTGGCTCATATGAGTTCTGAGACACTGGGGTCGGCCCTATGAAAAATGATGAAGAGTGATAAGGAAAACGAGGCTGGACGGTATAGAAATAGAGCACTAAGCTGGAACTCTACAGGCCTGGCTTCTAGAGTTGGTTCTGATCTTAATCAGCTTAGTGATTCAAGGCAAATCTCATTTTTTCTCTGAGTCTCTGTTGGGTAGCTGGCAAAATGAGAGGGCTGGACTAGACAATCTCTAAAAATTCCTTCCCTCTTAAGCAGTCTACAGTTCTATGATTTATATAGTTGTCTTCAGATTCTTTGTACCTCCACTTGGACTTTTCAAAGCAACTGAAAATTCTAGGGTTAATAGCTTAATTGCAATAACAGTAGCTCCCACTATTGTTGAAAGCCTAAGGTATGCCGGACACTGCGTTAGGAGTTGTATAGACACTGTTTCATTTAATTCTTACACTCCCTATAAAGTAAGTGCCACTTTCCCCCATTTTACAGATCAGGAAACTAAGGATACAAGAGGTTTAATGGCTTTGCCCAAGATCACAGGTAGTAAGTGCCAGAGGCAGGATTTAAATCCAAGTCTAGGTAACATCAAAACTTGTGCTTTCCTTCCGTGCGGCAAGCTCCTTCTACCCAGGTATTATTACCTCACATATACCCTCACCCATGTTTCTATCTGAAATTTTTCCAGGGAGTCTAAGAACTCCAGAATATTGTAATGTAGAATCATTAGAAAATATTGAAATTGGAAGGGACCAAGCTGGTCATCTCGTTCAACTCCCTAACTTTTCAGGAACAAAACAGTCCTTGAGAAAAGAAATAACCTGCTCAAAGGTAAGTAAAGGCCCATGTCTGGAAGCCCAGATACTTTCTCCCCTCTGTCACTCTAGGCATCACCATTTCAGACAGTGTCAGGCAAGCTGGAGAAATCTGAGGGACAGGAGCAACTCTGAGTGCAGCTCTGATATTCTGCCACCAAATAAAGGCCAGCCTGGACCTTGGCTCATATGCTGGAAGGAATGAACAATTATTTTCATATTATCTTTCCCATAGTGAAAGAAGCATAAAACAAGAAAATATATTCACCTTTCGCTTTCTAATGGCTCCGTTTGCCCCCGGGACAGCTTCACACAGACGACTTATTGCTTCCCTACAGAACAGAAAGCATATAAAGACTTAGTATACTACCTAGCACACAGTAAATGCTCAATAGACGGTAGAAATTATTATGACCAAACATGCACATATATACTGTTGAGTCTGAGATAGATGACCCCCTCAAAGAGAAAACACTGCTTAATTCTGCTGCAGTTCAAACCCAGGAAAACCCAGCAATGTCCTAATAGTGACAAATTGCTTTACAATAGGAATCTTACTACTCTATTCATCTCTTTTATTCCTTGGATATTAACCTTGGATTTTCAGTTTTGGATTTTTATTTTGTATTACTGTTTTTTAACCAAAATGGAGGAGTGAAACTTTATTATCCAGAAATATTTCAGTTTAGCAAAATCATCTCCGTGGTGTCATGAATAAAAAGCTTCATAGTATCTCAGCACCAAAGACAAATACAACAGGACCCGACACTAGAGGAAGCTTACAAAGATTGGGGAGAGAGTTCAACTTCAAGGTGGCCTCAAGTGGAGCCTTACTGCTTGCTACAAGCCATTGAGCTTTCATGTAATTTCACAGAAGAAAAGAAAATCAATACCAAATTTCCCCCTTTGCTTATTTTTCTGCCCTTACTATATATTGCACTTCCTGAGAGAAAGGCACCGCTAAAATAAGTAGTTGCTCTTTAATGGAAGTGGTGAATGTACTGGTGCCCTTCTCTCCAGAAATGCAGTTATAACTAAGCACTTTCATCTCTGGTACCCCGAGCATTCATAACCTCCCAAGCTTTTACTCTGCATAATCTGAAACTTAGCCTTGTGGCTTCCAACACACACATTAAATTTTTCACAAGGCAAATAGGAATCTCTGAGCTCTTTCCCGGATCCTCTTGAGATCACTGTTTAAATTAACAAACAGTATTAACACACACACAACGTTGTGTTACAGTTTTTATATATCTTATATCGGGTCACCATGAGTCAGAATCGACTCAATGGCAGTGGGTTTGGTTTTGGGTTTTTATACATCATGAAAATATTTTCTATGAGATATTTTTGGCCCCAAAGGAAGGGGAGTGCTCCGAAAAAGAATGCAGATCTTAAAAAAACAAACAAAAAAACAAACAAACCTACAGCTAGGATATATTGGAGTACAATGCTCTTCTAGTAGACACTTTGTGTACATAGAAAGATCCTCAAAGTGCCTAGGCATCATTTTGGACTTATACCATATGTTTTGGTTCAGATATTTTTTTTTCCCCCTGGATAAATGAAACTTTTCTTCAAGGTACTATCTCATCTCATTTTTGCATAATTATCTGCAGCCAAAGAGTAGAATGGCTTTTTGGTTTAGAATATTTTCTTAGGATTTCATATTTATTTTCTCTAGAATTCCAACCTTTGCTTCTCTGGAGTCCAAAAGAAGGATAACATAGGAGGCTGGGCTCTTTGGTTCTTTGGTTGATTGATGTTTTGAGTCATCTTAATGATTATTCAATAATAGATGAGACTCATATAATTGACCCTATTTGGCCCCTGGGACTGCCAAAATGATGAGTCCAGGCATCCCAATATATCATCTGTATTCGGTAAAGAGGTATAATAAGAAAGGGCAGATACTTTATTGCATGAGAAGCAGCTGGGGCACTTTGGTCTAAAAAGTTATCTGTAAATGGTTTGAAATAAAAGTAGAAACAAAGGTGACCATTGATGCAGCCAAGTATTACAATAGTGATAATAACTGTTGTTATTATTATGAGAAGCTGTTACTTTATATTCACCCTGTAGTTTTACAAAGTGCTTTCCCAGGCATCATTTTCTTGATTCTCACACTCACTGCCCATGTCATCTAACAAGAATAAAGTAGTGAATTAGAATTGATGGACTGCTTTATAGCATTAGCACCTTTCAAAAAGGGTTTGAAAGGACGGACCTTCCTGGCAGAGTGGGGATTGGAAGCTCCAGACAGAGGGAAGAGCATGAGCAAGCATACCAAAACATAAAGCATCATGATACAAGAGGAACTGCAAGTACTTTGATATTGCTGAGGCATAAAGTGTGGTAGAATAAAAAGGGAATGAGAACTAAGAGATGGGATCAGAGCTGATAACCTTTTCTGTAAAGGGTCAAAGAGTAAATTTTTTAGGCTTTGCTCTGTCACAACTAATCAATTCTAGTATTGTAGAGGGAAATTAACCATAGACAATATATAAACAAATGGGTGTTACTTTGTTCCAATAAAACTTTACTTACAAAAATAGACAGCTGGCCAAATCTGGCCTATGGGCTATAGTTTACCAACCCCTAGAGTAGATAATTCATAAAAAAGATAGAAATCGTTCAGTTTTAGGAAACAGGGAGATGTTCACATTCATGATAATTTTTAAATTGCAAATTAAAACAACTATAAGATACTCACGTCACTCTCATTAGATTAGAAAATAAAGCAAATACAAAATCTAGTGTTGGGAAAGATGGAAAAAAATTCAGCTTCAGGCATATGTATCCATTGTTGGGGGCCTTGATTAGTATTAATACAATCCCACTAAAGAGAAATTTAGTAAAAGGTAACAAATGTCATAAAATTTGTCAGAGTTTTTGACAAGAGGAAGGACTTGTATCAAAATAGCATTGTGTATGTACATAAACGAAACGTTTATTTTAGAGTCAAAAATTCTTATGCAAATGTGACTGGGATAAACTGCCCAGGGATAGGGCAAAGTGGTAGAGGTCAATTCTGGAAAATGCTAATGTAGCTGTCTCCAGCCCTTTCCCAACCGTTTGTCTTCTGCACATTTGCTGTTACCTCCTTCACAAGTGCCCAGAGCCAGGATGGCATGCTTGCACCAGCACACGTGTGTGTACACTCACACGCTCACGCAGAGCTTTAAAATCAGTCCAGGCACCCGAGGCTTCACAGATTCAAAAATATTTTTTCATTTTTTAAACTTTTTTTTATTGTGCTTTAGGGGAAGGTTTACAGAGCAAACTAGTTTACAGTTCAATAATTTATACAGAAATTGTTTCGTGCCATTGGTTGCAATCCCCACAATGTGTCAGCACTCTCCCCATTACCACTCTGAGTTCCCATTTTCATTTGTCCGTTTTCCTGTCCCTTCCTGCCTTCTCATCTTTGCTTTTGAGCTGATGTTGCCCCTTTGGTCTCATATAAATGATTATTCTAGGGAGCACTTACTTATCCCATGAGTGTTACTGTTTATTTTATAGGCCTGTCCATTATTTGGCTGAAAGGTGATCGCCAGGAGTAATTTATTTTATCTTTTTGTTGTTGTTGTTGAGCATGTGTGCAGAACATACACAAATTCTACAATTTCTCCATGTATAATTCAGTGACATTGATTACATTCTTCGAGCTGTACAACCATTCTCACCCTCCTCTTCTGAGTTGTTCCTCCTCCATTCACATGAACTCACTGCCCCCTAAGTTTCCTATCTAGTCTTTCGAGTTGCTGTTGTCAATTTGATCCCTATATAAATCCCTAACTATATAAATAGTTCTTAAAAAGAGCACAATGCTCAAGGCATTCTTCACTAGTTAAGCTAAACTACTGTTTGGTTTTAAGAAGACTTCAGGGGATATTTTTGGTTTAAGGTTTAAAGATGATCTCAGGGCAATAGTTTCAGGGGTTCCTCTAGCCTCTATAGATCCAGAAATTCTGGATTCCATGAAAATCTGTAACTCTATTCTGCATTTTCTTCCTTTTGATCAGGATTCTTCTATAGAATCTTTGATTCTAAAACTCTTGATACACAGCTGTGCTCAAAAGGAAAAGCTTGTGCTTATGGAATTGCTTTTAAAAAGTAGTTATTAATTTTTTGGATTTCAGACTCTAAAGAGATCTCTCTCTCCCATAAAAGATCTATATGTACAAACTTTTCCAATCAATTTTAAAGGGTCCACAAATGCCACCCCACCCCAAAAATCATCTGCGATCTCTTGAGGATCCACAAAACCCAGGTTGAGAGCCACTGCTTTGAAATAACCTCTCAAATTCTGCTTCTTTTTTTTGCTGATATCAGCATTAACAAATCTCCTGAAATCCCAGCCAGGGCAGACAGATATGTGCCTGCATTTTGTTGCTTCTCTTCACAAAGGTCTTTTTTTTCCCCTGAGACTGGTACTAAGAGATTAACTGTAACATTTTGAAGAACAAATAGTACTTTCAGTGCTTTTCTGGAGTTTCAGCCACACCCTCTGGCCTAAAGCGTTGACTTTACAAACGCTGAGGAAAAAGAAAACAGCAGAGAGCCTAGAGTGGCGATTCCCACAGGACCTGGGGGTGCCTGCGCCATCCCAGCCGCCCAAGTGGCTGCATTTCTCCTTGCGCTTTTGGAGCTGACTTGCAACGAGACATTCTCAGCTAGCAAACATTCAGCAAATGTCCTCTCTTGGAGGAGCAGAATTTTCAGAGTTTAAATGGCTAAAGAAAAGATTTCTATCTTGGGAGCCTGTGCGAGAAAGAGAGTGAGAAACGCCCCACAGTACCAACAGTGGCCACTTTGTTTATTGTTTTGCCACATAAGAAGGAAAAGAAGTGGGCTGATGTAAGAGAAGGAGAATGCAGTTGAAGATTTGCTTTTAAGCATATAAAACCCTGCCTACACCATAAGACCAAAAAAAGATATTTTGTCTGTCTTAACAGAGTTCACACTAATCATTTAAACAAAGCCACCTTTCTTCATCATCTTGGCCATTACAGTACTGAAGTTATAATTTTTCTGTGTCTTTAACCCTTTAACAGTTAAGCCCCTCTGAAAGCAATGTTGCCTAACCCTCCCCTTTTTAAGTTTGGAATGCAATACAATATCACAATTCAAGAAAAAGTGGACCATTAACTGGGGGGAAGAGACTGCGGGACAGATTTTTTTCTAGTAGATCAAAATGCAGTTCTTCAATAAGTGGGAAAGCCAGAAATTGTGTGACCTGAAACCAGGCACATGGCCCAGTGGGGTGATTAAAGGCAACTCTCCCCACTTCCCAACACACGTGTGTGTGCGCGTGCACGCACACACACTC